CACCATCCTGTTAGCCATCGCCTAAAACCACAAATGATGGCTTTTGCTATTTCTTGATCATGGTTCCACTTATTTTGCACGTTGTTGCGTACATAATCATATGTTTCATTGCATCAAGTATCTGATTCTCAGACATTCCATCAATATTCCAGTTTACTATTGTTCTTCCTGAATATGACACAGTACTGGTAATTAAATCTTCTTCAAACTGGATATCCACAAGGGTTGGTCTTGGATAATACATCCTAGTTTGGGAAGTTGGCCTTACCTTTCTTCCATAGTCTATTTTTCCTACTTCAAGTTCTTTAAAACCTTCTTCTATTTGTTGTATTTCACTATTGGTTAGTGACTCTTCTTGTAATACCATGGCCTCTTGTTCAATGGTTGTTCCTTTCCCCTTTATATTAAGCTTGGCTAGCTTGTTGACCAATTCACCCCATTATTACAAACAGCAGCGTCAGAAAGTTTATAGTTTATCAGCGTTTTACAGCCGTCAGCAGTATTTAATACTTGGGTAGTTTTGCTAAATATTTAGTATGAACAAGACCTTCATTAATAAAATTTAAATCTGCTCCATAATCAATAAGACCAGTGGTTTGACAACTAAATTCCTTTTGAATCATAATCTTTATTAAAGTAGACCATCGTTGGGATATAACCCTATCAATAAGATTGATGTATTTAAAATCTTTTATATGAGTTTTTTCTAGGGTATTGCAACCCTGTGGCTCTTCTTCTTCTAAGTGAGAAAGAGTGTCTTCAATTTCAAGAGATAGAAGATTTTGATGATACTCATTGACTAAATTTTCAAATTCTCCTTTATTGAGTAACATTTCATTTCCTTTTAAAGAAATTAATTCTAAAGCTTGGACTCTAGCTTTAAGAGTTATGAGTTCATTCTGAACCTCATTAAGTTCATGTTTAAGCTCAAGAATAGAGGGTTCACGAGCAATCTAATTCTTATCATGTACTCGTTTCAAGATTTCAAAGAAGCTACAGTCTTCTCTAGTTGGGACCAAAGAAGGCTTAGGTGAAGAAGGCCTAGAATGACTCTTAGCCATATCAATATATGGTATTAAAGCTTCTTTTTTAGCTTCTAGGTCAGTTATTTACCAATTAAATCAATAATCATATTTTCTTCTTCTGTAAGAACATCAAGACTTAACCCATTCATATCAATAATAGCTTTGTAATAATTAAAATGGCAGGGATTGTCACTAACATTACCAGAATCAAAGTCAGAGCTTGAAATAATAAACTCCTCGTCTTCAATTTCGCCGATTAGCATTTCATCATCAGAATTGAAAGAGCTATCAGAAGATTCTTCTTTAATTAAAAGAATATCAAAAAGTTGTTTCTTAATTTCATTATCAACCACAAGAGCATTGATTTTTTTCTTAATCCTGCACTTATTTTTATAGAGCCCTACTTTTCAACAATTATAGCAGACAAGTATTTTTCTCTTGCCTTGTTGTTTAAAGGACTGGTCTTTTGAAAACTTTTTATAAAATTTCTTTTTCTTCCTAGGACAGGAGTTTTACCTAGACTAATGGAAGGATTTCTTTTCCCCATATTTTCCTTTAAAATGGGATTTAACAGATAAGAGAGTATTAAATCCAAATTGTTCACAAAAATCACCAAGCTCTTTCTTGCCCATCATCCTCTGCTTATCCAACTGTCTTTTAAGCTTAAGATCAGTACACAGGGCAAGACCTTCCGCACATGATTCCGTAGATAATTCTCCCAAAGTATATTGAGAATAAAGAATAATCCCACCATGCTTATTTTTAAGCTTGGTTTTAACCTTCTCAACAAAGAGGTTGAGAAGTCCTGAAATCAATTTTTCTTTCCAATGATCAGCCTTACTGTCTTCCCTTGAAAGTAACCTAAAAAAGAACACATCTTTATTCCACTTCAAATGTGAAAGGATCTGAGATTAGATAATAAATCTTCCGACCTGGCTGCTAAAAGGGCAATGCTACCAGCAAAGTGAAGAGTAATAGTGTAAATGAGTGCATTAACTATCTCCTTTATCAACAACAGATTCATGAATTTGTCCAGAAGCAATTTCAGTTTTAACAATCCATTGATTGGTGGCATTTAATATTTGATCTCTGGCAGCTTCATCATGATGGAAATCCCATCAGCCTCTAAGTCGGCCAGTAAAACCACAAACTATTACTTTGGCAATTTCGTGGTCCTTATTACCACTAGTTTTGCACGCAGCAGCGTACATGGTCATATGCTTCATTAAATCAAGAATTTGATTTTCAAACATTTCATCAATATTCTAATTAACTATGGATTTGTCTGAGTAAGAAACAGAGCTGGCAATCAAATCTTCTTCAATTTGAAGATCTACAGGAGTAAGTTGAGGGTAATACATCCTAGTTTGAGACACAGGCCCCACTTTTCTTCCTTAATCTATTCTATTAACATCTAAGCTTTCGACTTTAAAAGCATCCTTAATGTCATTTATTTCATGATCAGAATAGTGTTGGCCTTCTTGTAAGACCTGAACATTTCCAACAATGGGGGCTTTTCCTTTATCCTCATCAGAAATATTCAAGTTTGATAGTCGTTTAACTAATTCATCTACAAGCTCTTTTTTGTCCTCTTTTTTCTTTCTACCTTGCAGACTAAACTTTCCGATCTCAATAACAAGTGGAGGTTTGAATAATAAAGCCTTTTAGGTTTTTCTGGCTTTTCTTCCATTTTATCAGTTTTGTCACTATTTTTAATGGCATTTAGAGTATTTTCTGTCATGCCTATTTGGTTTCCCAAAGTTTGTAGAAATAAATATGTATAATTATTTTGTTCAATTATGTGGGGGATACCATCAAGCTTAGAAATTTGATTTTCACTTTCTTTTAACCCTTGTTTAAAAGGGGAAGCTTTGGTTGCCATTTTTTCTCCTTTGAGCTAAAGGTTAGTTTCAGGAGGATGAATAAATTCGATAGTTTTACCATCTCTCATGTGCAAGGTTCGAAAAGTTTTTTCAATCATATAAATCTTGGACTCAGGCTCAGGGAAGGTTGGTACAGGTATTCCCTTTTGTTTAAGGATATATCTTAACCATTTAAAGAACTTAACATTTGCTTTGTGTCCGAACATAAATTCAATAAACTTTTTGTGCAAAGCATCTTGAAGGGGTTTTTTAAATTCTTTAAAAAACCATTCTCTAATTTTTGTGTTTTCTTTAGAATAAAAATCTTTTCTAATCCATTATTTGTCAATTTGAAATTAATCAATTTTTTGAAGAACATATAGGCTGAACTCAAAAGTCTGAAAGAGTAGGTTTAGCTTGCTCCTCCTTTTGTTAGTATAAAAAATCGAGGGTTTTAGCTATGTACACAGGTTGTTGAACATGTTCTGTAGATTTCCTTAAACCTTCAAGAACAATTTTCTCATTATGGATCTTTTCATAATTTGTTTCAAGAACTGAAGAAGTAGAAGCCCTACCTGGTATTCTAGGAGGGAAGTTTGTAACAGTGAGTTTGGCTCCTTTGGTAGAAGGAAATTGAATCTCAATTTCTCCATTGGGGTATTCAATTATTTGTTCTGGTTTTTTATTTTCAAGAACCTTAAGTTGAGTCCCAGATTGTTGAGACCATTGTTCAGGCAAATTTTATTTGAGACCAGGAATACCATTTTAGGTATTACAAAAATTTGATTTTTCAATATTTGTCTGAAAGAAGACAGTCTGACCTTTAGTGTCCATTTACTTAGCAGTTTGACATAAAGTATTCATGCCTTTGTAACATTTCCGTAAACAAAAGCCAAATTTTGAGAACCAGGGTCCATATCAAACCCTTGTGTTTTTAGGTTTAAGGTTAAAACCTTTAAAAGATTTGGATCAAAAAGAGATACAAAGAAATTTGGAAAACAATTACAATAAATTGGGCCCTAGCAAAGACTAGATTCAACGATTCCTAAAAGAGAGTCAATGAACCTTCTATGTCTGTTATCTCTTAAACATAATAAAACCGAGTTATTTAACCCAATCCTAGTTAAGGGTTTAACTGCAACTTGGACTAAACCAATATGCAGATATTTAAAGTCTTTTTTCTTATGTCCATCTATCATCCTTGTAGATAGAAGCTAGAAACTATCTTGAGTCTCCATTACAAAGATTGTTTTCTCAATTGTTTTAATTGAAAAATTACTTTTAAAATCGAAAGTTCCCTTTTTATAAACATCATAAACTAGTAACTTAGGTATATTCCAGTTTTGTATCTGTTTTTTAATATTATCTATTATGACCTCTTCTCTATTATTGACTCATAGTATATTACTGCTGCTACTAGAAGCTAATCTATTAGATAGGGTTCTGATAAAATTTGTCATAAGAATTATTTTATAACCCAGATCCGAGTCAATAGGAAACAGTCCCTATGCTTTCACACGCCTTCTCTAGGCTTAACAGCGATTATTGGGTCACCACGACTTTAGATCCAATTACAAAATAAATACTTACAAACAGATTTTACAGTTTACCACTGAAGAAACATGGCTCTGATACCAAAAATGAGAAAATGAAGAAAACCCAAGCAACTATAAAATGTCATATCATAGTCCCTTGAATTTCACCAATGGATATGGCATATCATAGTCCATTGAATTTTCCTACTGAAGTTGTCCTGAAATCCTCTCGTGTTTCAAAGGATTCCCCCAAAATGCTCACTGTTCATTGGCCAATCTACCTTAGTGCAGTTCCTATGATCTGTGGATGAGAATACTATGATCCAATGGACAACAAAGAACCTTAGTGATAGCTCCTTTCGTCATTGTTCAATGAAATGATGCGGCGAGTTATGAAGAAAGAGGTGGATCCACCTCTGGAGTCATTTCCTGTTCAGGTAGGATCTGTTTACTCTCAATCACCATCCATCATTTCACTAGACATTGTCCATAATGGACTATAACAGAGTCCATGATCATAGTATACTTTCCCAGAGAAAAGACAAATTTCAATAGAAGAATTTGTAAAGGCTCTTCACCTCATGTTCTTCTGCCTCATGGAACGCTCCTCCAATACTTAGCATTTGTAGGCAAACTCTCCTCGATGCAGCGCCCTGGAATCGAACGTTGTCCCGAGGAACCGGTTGACGCTCACGTCTCACAATTCCAGACTCACAATGACCTATAAAGTTAATTGAAGGAATATGACCACCATCCCATTCTCCCACTTGACCTTCATCAAAATTCAAAAGATCATCAAAAGATTCAGATCTTGGGACAGAAGAGGGTCTGTACGAGTTAACAACACCTAATCCATCCCAACCCTCCATGCTTGCTTCGAAACCCCCATCATCAAATGTGCCAGGATTACTACAAAAGCTAGATGAGGAAGGCATGTGATTTTCAAGAACAAGTGGCTCGTAGTTGGGCACGTGAAACAAATCTGAGGCTTCCTGCTCTTCATCACCCTGGAGAAAGAGAACAAGTTTTTCTATTATCAGTAGAACTGTATAATGTCAATTTATTTCAGCACGAGTAAGGACCAGAAAGCCATAAAGAGGATTTGGTGACCAGATAAACGAAGCCATTCCTATATATGGAATTAGTCCAACCACATTAAGAATAAAAAATTGAAGAAAGGAACTGATCCAAGAAAAAAAAGTTAAAATTAATATAAAAAACTACCTCATATAGTGTACTTCAAAGAAAGATCATGAGTCAATTTAACAAGTAAAACTCTATCCTGAACTAACTGCATGACTATCATAAGAATATATGGATGCCTAATATTCCACGTAATTCGGAATAGGAAAACTGCGAAATAGCAGAAGCATGTCATACAGAAATAACAATTTGAGAACTCATATAGGTGAAGGATACAAATTTTATCGAGTGTAAATATAGAGGTTTCTTTGAAACAGCCATTACATTTCATTAAAAAAATTAAGCAGTTATCCAGGATAGTGGATTTTCTCAATTTATCCAATATTTTCGTGGAACTAGTAGTCAACATGGCTCAATTTTCTCCTCCTCAAATCCTCATTACAATATAAGACTGTGCCAAGTTCATTTATCACTTTTTAAAATAAAAAACAGGCCCCAATCCATTAGAACCAAACAGGGCCAATTCAATGCCAATTCAATGATCGAAACATCCTTATCAACCAGGAATCTTTTCTTGAAAAAATAAATAATCACAAAATAGAAGGATTCTCATCATTTTAGTGGGCAAGTATACTATGGACCATGGAAAACGATGGCAAAATGGGCAGTGATGAAGAGAGTAGGACCATAGCATGATCCTAATGGTGCTTTCCGAATTCTCTCCATCACCACTGACCATTTCAATAGCCAGTGATGGGGCGACCATTGGAAACCGAATGAATTGTAGTATATTTTTTCCGTAGTCCATTGGACTACATTTCCTTCCATTCACTACCACAATTACATCTCATTCTCAAACAAATGGACTTGCCTTATGAGAGTACGTAACATGAAGAGAGAATCACAAACCTTATAGTGCTGCTCACTCTCAATTGGTTGGAGAGAATCATCAGTAGCCAGCAACTCTAACAAAAACTTAGTTAAATAGTTTGAATCCATTATTTTAGGTGATGAGGTTTCTTGCACATTTGTCTCCTTAACATCCAACTTTGAGGTCTGGTCGAATTGCTCTCCATGTTCTCCATCGATCACTGTCCTAGCAGCAGAAGACTTGCTAGGGTTAGGCGATAAGTCACTCAGCTCCACCCCATCATAGCGTGGATCATCGCTCTTCTCATTCAAACCATCCTTATTGAAAAGGCGGCACAGGACATAGGCATCCTGCAAACCAAGGATACCTCAACACATTGGTAAAAAACATGGCATATGAACGGTAATATGCTCGTAACTCACCGGGGCAAAGGAAGGAGAAGAGAGCTGCTATATATTTCAGATGATCCCCAACTGGTGTATAGTCATTGTAATAATCACCCCAAAGACAACATACCAAAATGCATAGCAACCATACCCAATTATATTAACCTTGGAGTTCATTTTGGCACGGGAAGAGAAGTGCTGTTGGGAAAAGCCTCCAGGTATTAAAAGTACATGAGTTTTTGGTCGATTCAGTCTCAGTTGGAAGCAACTTCACTACGCTTTGGGGTTGGAGGGGAGAAAGGTATTTTTTTTTTTGTTTTTTTTTTTTTTTTGGGTTTTTTGTTGTTTGGAAAGAGAAAGGGGAGGGTTGAGGTTGGAAGATGGGGGTGGTTTCAAAGCCAAAGTCTTCCTCCTCCTTGGTATAGGCAAAGGAAAACTAAAACAACTGGTTTGCAGGAATTCGCATGGTTCTTTAGGATTGACTGGAAATTATAGCCAAGGTTTTCCTTTTTCCACATTTTCAAACTTAACATCTACCCAGATAATAATTGTGAAAGGGTTTGAAAATCCAGTACGCAAAAAAAATCATAGATGTGCATAACTACTTGTAAAACACAAATAACTGTAGTCCCTAGAAATGAATTTATTTTCCAGTCTTATTATCTACTAGCATGATTCCCAATTTCATCTGGAAGCTAGCCAAAATTAACAACAACTCCAATTTCAACAGTGAGGAAGAGCTGCACGGATAAGTGAAGCAAGCTTTTGAACTATCAAATAACATAAAAATTGTTGCAACATATTGAAAAAAAGTAGGTGGTTGTAAAGAAAATAAAGCCCTATATGAAACTTTTTTTTTTTTGGTGCAGGGTGTGGAGAAGAAACTATAAGGTAAAAGTAGAGAAGTTTTCACCTGAGAGCCATTCAAATCCTGAAGAGCATGTCCATCAACACGGTACTCATGCATTATCCAAGGAGTTCTTTTTCTGGGAGATCGTCCCTCATGGAAAACCAGTGTTCTCTTCGTACCAATCAAAAACCCATGAAACTTGGATTTGATTTTTCGGGCCTTTCCTGTTGCTTTCCAGTAACCAGCTGCAGTGGCTCTATTAGATCGCCGCCCATTTGGGTACTTTATATCACGGGGGCAGAAGAAGTGCCACTCTGGATATCTGGTTTTAATTGGGGACTTGCCTAGAAGGAGAAACATAAGTGTATCAACATTGATTATAATAAAAAAAATGCAAAAAGCCTACGGCACATACTAAGAACATCAAAAATCACAAATAGAAAAAATATGCATTGGTAAATTGGCACATGTTTTCTGTATCAACCATCCAACACTGAGAAGGAATAAAAATCCAGGACAAAGGATAATTTCTCATTCATTAAGAATTTAAGCGACAGATGTCCTCCTTTCCCTCCTCCCAAACCTAAAGGAAAAAATTTTCTTTTTATTTTTAGTTTTGGGCCTTTAGGCACAAAGATCTTAACAAAAAAGACAACAATTAGACCATGTTGCTGCTTAAGATATCCAGAATTCAGCTACTTATAAGAACAGAACTAAATAGGAAAATTTATTGATTTGACCAATCACAAAAACCAATAATCAGAGGAAAAGGAAAAATCTCAAACCCCAATTACTTAAACTAAACAACAAAAGACCAAAAGAAAATTCAAGCCCATAAAATATGGATCAATGAAATTACCAGGCAAATCCCATGGCTCGCACTTGCACATGTCAACCTCCGGTATAACCTGCACATCCCCTTTTCCATTAATCTTTTTTGTAAGGTAATGTGAAATGAGCTCGTCATCAGTGGGGTGAAACCTGAAGCCAGGTAAATCATATAAATTCATCGCAACAACCTTCAATAGAAGTAAAAAAAACTCAAGAGTGGTTCTTCGATGGAAACCGAAAAAGCTCAGGTAAGTGATACTTCAATGTAATCCAGGCATCTGTTTGTCAGCATTCAAACTTCATTTGATACCAAATCGAGGGAATAGGAGTTTCAGGAAAGCTTGTAAAAGATTTGCGCAAGGAATTCTTCGGTGAAAGATCTTCACAGTATCCGTCACTTGAGAGAGAAGATCAGTGTTTAGTAAAGTTGATGAACAGAGGGGGCCGTTCAATACAGATAGAGAGAGAAACTCTCCCGCCTTCGAGGCAAAGTTAAGAGCCCGTGAGGCCGTACATACCAGGTGGAAGCAACTTACACAAATGCCACCCTATTTTCCCTTATTTGCGGATTGTGCCCTCTAATGGAAATTGCCTGAAAACTACTCGTTGGGTGGATGGAACAATAATCGTGGCACTGCATAGTTTACGATTAGGGTGCAGTTGGCATACGGATGCATCCTAGAGGTAAGGTGCACCTTCAAATTTTATAATTTTAAAAATGGTTAAAATAAAGTAGATTTATAAACATATGAAAATTTTGAAAATAGATGGTGTAGATAATATGTTGTACAATGTATTATTTTTAAGATTTAAAATCTTTTTATTTTTCATAGTCATATATCTCAATGTCAAGATGATTAATCGTAGCATTTTTCAACAATAAAACTACCTTTTCCGATGGATTTTATAAGATCGCCTCGGGCCATTGAGCATTTTAAATTACAATTTTACGAGCGAACAAGGTTTTGGTGAAGCCGCGGTCCTAAGAAATTGTTTTAGTTGAGGTGTAAATGAATCATTTGTAAATTTTAAAAATAGTTAAAATAAGGCTTAGGTCTTATATAAAAAATAAAGTCACATCTCAAATCTTATCAAAATTACGATTCTAATATCATAATACTATTTGATCATCTCTATCTTGACTAGTAGATAAGTAAGGATTTCAAACCTTAAAAATAATGTACACCATAACACATTACCCAAACTGTAAAATTTTGAGTGTTTGCATCTGTACTATTTTTAAGCTATAATTTTCATAATCAATAGTGGAAATAGATTTTAGAGCTATCGTATAGGCTTTTTTTTACGTTCATAGTATTTTTCAAACGGACAAGGCTTTACCTTTTTTTCATAAGACCTAAGCCTTGCAGACACTCCGTCCATAAATTTCTAACTTCAAATTCCTTATTTTACATTTGTGTTGGACTGGCTCTTTATTCTAGTTGTGCCTAAGTGTCAATGGGGTATCTGTAATTTTCCTTTATAATATATTTCTGTCTTGGTTTATTATATGGGGGATTTAATTTATTAGTAGATAAAGCATGTGGATGTGCAGCATATGCATGGAAAAGTTTCGTTTGTTCATGCATGAGGCTTCTTATGGATAAAGATCCGAAAGTTATTTTAAAGGGAAAAGTTTATACAGATCTTCAGCTCTAAACAATCAAATTAGAGTCTACCTCAAAAAGTTTTACGAGAAGATAAGATGCTACCTCAAAAGTTTTACTAGAAGATATTGTTTTGATGTCCAAATATCCTCAGATTAATCATTTGACATCCAGTTCCATGGACGTGAGAAAAAAATTGGATTTCAAGTTTTGGAAATAGTGCATCTTGTAACGTATTTTTAGATTGTCAATTTTCAAGATTTTTAAGTATTCATATATCCGCTCAACTTACACTATTTTTAAAGCTTTAAATTTTATAATTAAAGGTGAAAATATATTTTAAGGCTATCATAAAGATTTCCAAACCATATTTTTTCAATATATTTGAAGGTGGGCTCTAATTTGATTGTTTAGAGTTTCGGCTCTATACTAACCGCACCTTATTTTAAATCACTTCAAATGCGTGTTGCTTTCAATAAACGATTTTATTTTTCAAAAAATAGTTCACTAAAATGAATGATAAAAAGGATAAATTACCTAATTTTTGGCGTTTAAAACTTGGTTTTTTTGTTTTTTTTTTCTTTCTTTTTTTTTCTTCCGTAAAGATCGTAAAAGGTGTAAAATTAGTGTTTCAAAATTCCTCGGTTTGGATCCAGAATCCCAAATTCGGACAAGGGATCAGTAAGGACCAACCATGTACCTAGTTAGAAGTTAGAACTAAGAATCCGTATGATTCCCATAGACTCGCCCAATCCCAATCTCAATCCCATTGAGCAAAATGAGGGAACCCAGCTTGTCCGAATCTCCCATTCCTATCTATTTTATTTTCATTGTTTTTAGTTTTTATTTCTTCGGATGTAGAATTGTTATTTAATTTTTTTAGGACCGATTTGCCCCAGGAATCAGAAAACGGTTTTGGACCACGTGCGTTAGGCAAAAACCCTATCCGACATTACTTGCCCACAAGGATTCTTTGGAGGGAAAATTTTCACCCAAATTCAAAATGTATATCTCATAATTAGCCCTTGTCGTATTAGAAAACAATTTTATCAAAAGAATCTCGGGTTTTTTTTAAGTAAGTTAAGACCTTCGGGTCTTCAAAAGTTCTTCAATTGCTTTTTATTTTAAAGGTGTCAGTTTGTATAAAGCCGAATATCTACACCATCAAATTAGAGCCCATCTTGAAATAGTGTTGAGAAATATTATTTCATTACTGAAAATTTTTATGATAGCCTTAAAATGTATTTTTTTTTTACTATAAAATTTAAAGCTTAAAAAATAGTGTAGATCAAGCATATCCATACAAATTTGAAAATCTTTAAAATTGATGGTCCAAAAATGCGTTATAAAATGCACCATTTCTAAAACTTGAAATCCATTTTTTTCTGATGTCTATGTATCTTGATGTCGAGATAATCAATTTGAAGATATTTGAGCATCAAAACAAACTTATTCGAGTGAAATTTTTGAGGTGGGCTCTAATTTAATTGTTTAGAGCCTCGGCTCTATATAAAATTTTTCCTTTTCTTTAATAGAGATGAAGGGGTATTTTTGTCTTTTTAAAAAGAAAACTTTTTGAAAAAAATTATTTTCTATGATTTCCATTGAACGTCAAATTCTCTCCATTGATTTGATATCTTTGAGTTTCCGTTTTGATATAAGCACATTAAAAGTGGAAATAAATTAAGAATCTTGATTTAAAAAAATTTTCCATGAAATTTTCCACCAACAAATTCTTTCAGAAATTACATTAAAAAACACAAATAATATTTTTCTAAAAATAATTTCTCAAAATAACTATATATCTCAAAATAATACGTAGAATTAGAGCAAGAGTAAGGCAAATGAAAAATCTTCTCTCCAAATCACGAGCATCATTAAAAGAGCAAAAGAGTGATTTAATCATAACTAAAGATTTAGTTAGTGGACAATTCAGGTCAGGATCAAATGTTTAGTTTGCTTGCACATATTGTTATGTATAAGTAAGCATTTTATTGGTTCTTTTTATATATGAGTTTGATTAATTTCAACTTTTAAAATTTTTGGTTATTTCATTGATATCTACAACATAACCCTTGATAGACAACTATCTGACATTTTTGGACTTTTGTGCTTTTAGTAATTGATATTATATACTGAGGGTCCTTTTTTATTTATTTATTTGCCTTCTAACAGTAGTCATGTACCTTAAATTACACTTTTTCTTATTTGTTAATACAATTATTGTGTTTATTATTGTTATTTAGGGGTGGGTAATAGTTCGAGTCGACCCGTTAACTTGACGGGTCGACCCAACTTCGGTCTAGGTTTGGGTCTTATTTCTCGACCCGATGGGTCGGGTCTGGGTCCGAAAGTATGGAGCCGACGTCAGGTCAGGTCGGGACCAGGTCTAGGTTTCCGACCAACCTAACCCAACCCAAATATTTAGTTGTACAATTATTTTATTATAATACTATTATATATTATATAATATACTATAATTTCTTCATAATTTATTATAATTTATAATATACTATAATTTCTTTATAATATATAATTTATATAACATTATAATACTATAAGATAATATACTATAATATATAATATTATATACTATAATATGTAATATATAAGATATAATAATATATTTTATAATAATATATAATTTCTTTATAATTTCTTTTTATAATTTCTATATAATTTCTTTATAATTTACAATATACTATAATTTCTTTATAATTTTTTAGCAGATATCAGTTTTAATATAATATACTATTATATACTATCTTATAGTTAGAAGTTTAAAAGAGATTTTTAAGGAGGTTTCTCTCTTTTTCCCTTCAACTATTTTGAGAGTTAGAGGCATAAATAAAAGAGAGAGAGAGAGAGATTATGAAAAGTAAGCCGTGCTTAACGCAATGGGTCGAGTCTAGGTCCAATTGACTTGGACCCACCCCTGGCCCAGGTCTATCTTAGACCTATTCCCACCCATAGTGTTATTGTTGTTTCCATATACACTTCCAATACTCCATCTTATATGTTTTGTTCTGATAGTATAGCAAGTATTATTGTTATATTAAATGAAATTTTAAACAAAAATATGTCAAATATTACCCTTAATGACACCGGGTAAGGACATAAAAATTTATGGGCAAGCTTGCTACGCCTCTTCTACAACATAAAAGTTATATTATTTCCCTTATCCAACCGTCATTCTGAATGGAAGGCTAAAATTGCCCCAATCACAATGTCACATCTTTACACTATTTTATTTTTAATTTTTTTTCTACAAACAATCTTTAAAGAAAATTTTGTAAGTCCAATCCTCTATTAAACTCGCACTAGCGAAAAATATAAAAAAAATATTTTCAATAAAATAAAATGATCAAAATATCCCTGAAAGTTGCAAAGGTATTTTGGTCATTATATTTTATCAAAAAATTATTTTTAATATTTTTTATAGATGCGCCCCAATAAGAAGATGACACGTACCAAATTCCATATTCATACAATTTGTATAAAAAAAATAAAAATAAAATACTTTTCTTCTTTTTTTTGAGAGAAAGTTCAAAAATATTATTAATCTAGAACGAGATTACAGAATCCAAAATAATGGCTTCAGAGAGGGTAGAACGTCCTTTGGCCAGGGAATCAGTTAGCACATTAGTCGCCCTATACAGATGAACAAAAAAGACAGAAAAGGAGGCGAGATCCAAAATATGAAATAACAAAGATTTCAACTCCCAAGGAAGTTTCTGATCCCCTTTGCACCCTTTCACAACATTGAGGGAATCTCCTTCAATAATGTAAGACGTCTCCACATGGGAACGAAGGCCAACGAGAATGCCAAAGATATCTACATAATTCGCAGTCTGCATCCCAAGTGGCCCTGCATAGGAGAAGATCACATTACCCATCCAATCCTAAAGAACCCTTCCAAAACCAGCAAGACGCGGGTTACCTAATGAGCTACCATCAAACTTGATCTTATAAACCCCCAAAGGTGGGACCATCAATCTGCTTTTGAGCATACACTTTTAGAAACCCAAATGAATTAAAAATAAAATACTTTGAGACGTCGGATCTAAGATCAAACAGTGAGTACTCTCTTCATCAAAATTGGATGGCTGGAAGGTAGGGAAACATAAAACTTCAGTGTTGTAGGGGAAGTATAGAAATCTTTCCCAAAATTTATTCAATGACTTTTATATATATTTATATAATAACTGCAAATCGTAATTTTTGAGTCAAATACAAAATGTTTATGATTCATTAATTGACCTATTTTTTTGATATCTACATTTTTTACTTAATTTTTGGCCTTTGACTTTTTGGAACAAAACATATTAATTGTCGATGTTTCGGTTTATCCATATATTGTTATGAAAAAGTATATAAAAAGATTATTTATCTTTTATACAAGGAGGTCACAATCACTCTTGTCCCTGAATATTCAAAATGGGTGGTTGCATGAGTGTCATTGAATAAACACAAAATTCAAAAAAAATTCTCAAACTTTGTGACTCAACCCAAACCATTCAATTTGACATCTAATGTGTGAGAATAGTTGTGATCTATTGGATTTATGTAGCCTTTAAAGACCTTATGAGTGTATAATGAAAAACTTTTTTATTTATTATAGTGGAACATAAACTCAGTGGGAGTGTGGTCCCTCGAGGACCATACTAAGCAAATGATGTTTACTGATACCAGACTATGCTTGACGATCTAGGCCAGTCGGTTGAAAAACCCAAGGTTCCTAAGCATAAAAAATAAACATATAAGGGTTTTTTGGTTAGCCCTTGATGAGGTCGGAGTTTATGCCTAGATGAGTGAGCCGAGGGACTGTGGTAACCCTTGTGTGTGATGGTAGGCCTACAGAGACGGGGGTCAAAACCTCATCCATGTTCCATCAAACGGCATACATATAGAGAGATCGTTCGGAAAGCCAGATATCCACCTTTGGGTGAAGCGTATGCATGTGCGAGAGATACCCTTATGCGCCATAGAGCTGTGGTCGCATCAGGTCGTGGTGACCTTGACTTGTCTCTAGGGGAGGACCTGTAATCCACAGACTGGGATTGCGACTCTTTGGCTCATCGATCATACTGTTGTGACCCGCTAATGAGCCCCTGCTTGGGCTGTGGGTCATGGGAAACACTGGGTCGGTTCGATAAAGCAAGTGTGGCATGTAGTCCACAGTTGAAGGTGAAGTACCCTGTGATCGTTGATAGAATTCCTGAACCGTATAGATCCACTTCCCATCATGTTAATTTAATTGTATTCATTTTATTATAGAAATTATTTTAGATTTATTATTTAAATTTTTATGAATATTTCAATATTTTATTTATGATTTTGGGAATTATAAATATGAAGTTATTGATTTTACAAATTATAGAAAATTCAAGTAATGTTTAAATAAAATTTTAAAATATTTATAAAATTTTCATGGGTGCCCATAGTGTACATGAGCCCACCATGTGGCAAATTGGTGGGGGCCCACATATGCGACATATGGGTGGCACGCCCCACCCATTGCTCCATTTGTTATTCCTTTGATATCAAGTTTTTTAATTTTTGGAAAGTCCATCTTATAAGCATATGGTCAAATATTGTTTGGGAAATATTGACCATATCTTATTTTGATTATTAAAGGAATATCTTGACTTGATATTATTGAAATATTCTTATGGAAAATATGAGATGGATTATGTAAATTTATGGAATGCATGATATTTTAATAGATTTAATTTATTTAAATATATTGATGAGAAAAATGGTTTAAGGAAAGGGGGATAATGGTTCATGCACCTTTCATAATGTTGATGACCCATCTATGGAATGAATGGCTCAGATCTCTCACTCCACAAGTCACATTGATCAATGGTCCATATTCAATCTCCAGAAAGAGACAAACTATGGGAAACCCTAAATAAACCCTAGACCTAAATTTCACTATAAATAGGGGTGCTCTCCCCCATCTCTAGACACCTCTCTCTCACCCATAACCTCTCTCTCACACAAACTCTCTCTTTCTCTTCCCTTAAGGACATTCCCCTCTCTCTCTCTACTCTTTGATTTTCTCTCTCTACTCTCTCTCTCTCTACCTAAAATACCCGTAGGGGGCACGCCACAACATTGAGACTCTTTCTCTCATGATCTAATCTAAGGGTTGGGAAAATTAGGGTTTTAGCCTAATTATTTTGAAGTTAGGGTTTTGTAAAGATTTAATGGTGGTTACCTAGTTTGACCGAAATTAGCTTTCTCGATTCGAGATTGAAGCTAGACCGCTGATCCTGCGCCATTGAATGTGGTGACTTGGTGTGAGGTGTAAAAAGCCCGATTGAGATAATCTCCGACATCTTTTCATTTATTTGTTTGTTCTTTTATTTTATATTCTCAAGCACAGTATTAGGTTGTATGAATGACATCAAGTAGTTGAGATTTATTGATGTGTCATTTATTTTTGGAATTTCTATTGTTTGTAATAAGTCCAGTTGTGAGTGATCTAATTGCCAAAATTATAAGGGGTGATTATTATTTAAAAAAAAAATTGTATTTCCTCAGCAAAAGATCACATAGGTCTTTCTTTCATTGGTATCAGAGCTAGTTGTACTTGATTGTCATTAGGAGTCTTTTCTTATTTTTGCTTGAGAATAAAAATATAATGGCTGCTCATACCTTCATCTCTAAGATCCTGAAAACCTGGGACCAACTTTGCTTCATGGAAAAGAAAATCAAATTTATGCTCTATGAAGAAAACTTGCATGATGTACTCTTTGAGGACCGACCTCGTCGTCCAATTGACTACTCATCTCAAATACTCAAAGATGAGTACGCCAATTGGAAGAGGAGGAACTTGAGATGCAAACACATTCTTTTATGTACCATGATTGACTCGTATGCTTTTGAGTACGAGTCAATCTATATTGCAAGTGAGATTTTTTATAAACTTGAAAGAGAGTATGTTGAACCCTCTCTCATGAAGCAAACTATGGCTATGAGAAGGTACAATGATTTAAAATGGCAAAAAATACCAAGTTTGCGGATCATGTGCACGTGTTTCGTGTGCTAGTCAGATATTTGGAAGATACAGGCCTGAAGCCCAATGAATCTATGCAAGTGATTCATTTAATGAATTCTCTTCCTAATTCATGGGAGACTTTCATATCTTCCATCTCTGCTATAAGAAAGACACTAAAATTACAGGAACTCATCACGACCATCAAATCTGAAGAAGAAATGAGGAGTTCAAGGCAAACCCCAAAGGATGCTGTGCATATGGTAAAATCTCAATCATCTTTTAAATTTAAGAAAGGAAAAGGAAGAAATACTTTTGAGAAGAAAATATATTTCAAAAGAAGAGATTTTGGAAATAAGGGAGCAAAGAGAGAGATTCGAAATTTGTTTTATTTGCAAGAAGGTGAGCCATATAGCCAATAGTTGTCGATTCAACAAATCTGGTGGAACTAACAAGGAATTTGCATGTGTGGTCTTCGAGTCCATGCTAGTTGACCCCAAGGGAGCTTCTTGGTGTCTTGACTCGGGGGCTATGACTGATGTCACAAACACCAAGGAAGGTTACCGTTCTTTCACTCCCATGGGGTCAGGACAACAACATATTTATATGTGAGGAAATCAGAAGACTGATGTACTTGAAGTTAGAGATTTTGAGATGAAACTGAAGAGTGGGAGCACCTTGATCCTAAAGCAAGCACTTTATGCTCCTGTTATGAGGAAGTGCTTGGTTTCTATTCTTAAGATGCCTATGGCTGGATTCATAACCACTTTCATTGAGGAGAAAGTGGTGGTCAAGAAGGGGAAAGATGTGATCATGACTGGACGACTTGTAGACGGGCTATTTACTATTAAAATAAACAGAACGTTGCTTATGTCTCGTCCCCTAATGAATCAGATGTTACCCTATGACATATGAGGTTAGGACACATTAATATCAAACGAATGGAGAGATTAAAAAGGGATGGGATTCTTCAAAATTATAAGGGAGATTTATCGAAAGTGTGGGAGTCTTGTGTGCAAGGAAAACAAATAAGGAAGAATACCACTAGGGCAAAAAGAGCTACTAACGTATTGGAAATCATTCATAGTGACATATGTGGACCTATGAATGTGGTCACAAAAAGTGGAAAAAGATATTTTATCTCTTTTATAGATGACCATTCACGATATGGCCATGTGTACCTTATTCATGCAAAATCAAATGCCCTAGAAAAAATTCAAAGAATATAAGGCCCAAGTAGGGAATCAAATCAACTTGAAAATTAAAGTCCTTAGAATCGATAAAGGGAGACAATAATCTTCTAACCTTTTCAAAGAATTGTACATTGAAAATGGGATTATTCATCAGTACACCATGCCTTATACTCTTGAGCAAAATGGTGTAGTTGAGAGAAAGAATAAGACCTTAATGGAAATGGTAAGGAGTATAATGGGGTATGCAAATCTCTCATTGGAGTTTTGGGGAGAAGCCGTATTAACGGCATGTCACATCCTTAACTGGACTCCCACAAAAGCTGCCCCACTTACTCCTCACGAAATTTTCACAGGTCGTACTCCCTCCCTTGAACACCTGAAAGTTTGGGGTTGCTCAGCCCATGTCTTTATCCTACATCAAAATAGAACCAAATTGCAACCCCAAACTGTCAAATCCATTTTCATTGGTTACCTAGATCATGGTAAGGGATATCAATTCTACAACCTTGAAACTAGTACGGTTATTGAAAGTCACGATGCTCACTTTTTTGAGGAAGAGTTCCTTGAAGCAAGGGCTAGTAGAAAACAAGTCAACTTTTATGAGGAGACCAAAAACAAGGATGTAGTTCGAGACCCTGAACCTGAAACTTCTAAACCAACCCAACCTATTTC